CAGCTGTGTTTTAGGTACTGTACTGGGTAAAACAGGCACAGCTATACTCTTACAAGATCGTTCCTCTTTTTCTTTCATTGAACACAAATTGTTCTGAAGTGCTCTATTTCCACATGTGTTAACAATAGTCTTAACTTTAACATCTAAGTTATTGAACTTTTCTACTTCACTTTGACCTAACTGGAATGATTGCAGAGGCTCTTTTTCAGATTTTGAAGAAAGCATGAGATCCTTAACAGCAGAATCTGCAGAGAACCAATAACTACCACTAGAATTGCCCTGCCCAGAGTAATCTGCATTAAATTTACAAGAGTTCACTTTAAGCCAGTCAAACCTATCCTTAGTTTTTTTTGAATTGAAATCTCCTGTGAGACATTTCATCTGATCAAGAAAACTTGTTGAACTGTCAATGCTATTATGCATGCTTTTTTGTGACAGAGACTTAGATGTTCCACTCACATTTGCTGGTAAAATTTTAGAGGATTCATTGATTGTTGTTCGATCTTGCATAATTTTAACACTCTTATGTTGAAATTGTATCTGCTGTGATCTATTAGATAAACTTCTAACAATTCTACTTTCCAAATTTCTGGTATCAAATAGATTTGTTTTACAAGTTATCTCTACCTTTTTCTGCAATTCTTCCTTATCTGCCTCATCTAATTCTACAGCATTTTCATCAGTATAAAGTGGGGAATAAGAAATGTCACTGTCATTCAAATCAGCATCTGAGAGAGAGGTATTCTGTTGAAAAGAGCAAAGTTGACTGTTTAGCTTCTCAATTTGAGTTTCTTCAGAAAAAGGATTAAGGCATTCAGACTGCTTTGTTTCATTTCTATGCTGTATTGTACGTTCAGGTTCTTTAATATTTCCCAAAGATGAAGCCATGATGTTGGTTATATTGATGGAATCCACAGTCATTGAACTCAGTTGTGGTAATAGAAGAGACTGTTTTTCTGTACTCGGAGGTACCTTCACATCCTGTAAACATTCATTATGTTCAGCAGCACCAGGTCTAATGAAATAATTTTCTGCACTAGATAATGAGGGTGCAAAGACAGAGTCCTGTGCTCTACTTGCTGCAAGTTGGGAATGTCTGTAGCGTTTGTAATGAGAAGGAATGACTGAAGAGCACAAAATGCCATCAGGACATTCTAATAAAAGAGGAGAAAAGTATTAGGAAAATATTTTTGAATATAACACAAATGAAAAACAAGATTTACTGAACAAATATTAAAATTCTGAAAGTTCTGCTTCAAAAAACGTGGCTAATGCAGACAACTTTTTATATTGTACCTTTATTTCATCAAATTGAATTTATCTATGAGAACGCAAAACTTCTAGCACAATGCCTGCCTGATAGAAACATAATATGACTTGTAGCAAAAAGAATTCAGTACAGGTAAATATGTCTACTTTTTCTGAATTACTTGACCAGATACATCATGGTTAGCCAGCCTTTTCTAATAAAGTTCAATAGACTGTGGGGGATTTTTTAATGAGTTTTCAAATTCAAATAATGGCAGTTGGAAAAGAATTTTCATTTTACTGAAAATTATCTGCAATTGCTTTTAATTTGGTAAGCTATTCTCTGTAAAAAAAAAATTGCATCATAGCCTTTCTTTACTCACCAGATCTCTTTTACAGAATTTTGTTCTTTAAAATTTGGTACATGCTTTTTAATTTATGCCTTAAAACTATAGTTTCCAACTACAATTTCAAAAATATAGCTTTTTTTAGAATTAATTCAAGGACTAGCAAGATTTTTTAATATATAGTTGCCCTTTTCTTACCTCTGGCCTCTGATTAATCAAAAGACTGAAATCTAGTCAATTAATGTTTTTTCAGATACTGAATTGCATGACGAAAATATATTGTTTGCACTTCTTAAAGAAACATAGCTTGTTTTCAAATACAAAGTAAAAGAGCCCTTGCTTCCCATTGAAACTGTACCTTTCTCAGCAGTCTCTGAGGCATCCAAACATTCAGTAACATGCCACTGAGGTGTCTGGATCAACAATAAAGAGAATGGCATTTGACAACTTGGACAGTACCCCTCAAAAACTGGTCTAGGTTTTACAGTGTTTTGCTTCTTGCAGATTTTTCTTTCTTTCTCGGAAGTTGTTGATAGACTTTCCTGTGATGATTGATCACCACTAGAAACCCCTGGCTTTAAGGGGGTCTGGCTATCTCTTTGTCTTGGCCTTTGCTTTGTCTTCTTAGGGACACCTTTTCCTTTGGGTGCTTTCCCACCATGTCTAGGGTCATTTCTTTGTGATCTACCATTTTCAAACTTTGCTTTTTGTACTTCAGTAGCAATTACTTCTGAATGTTGGCTTGTAGGTTTTTTGCTTCCTGATAGATTTATATTGCCAAATGTCTTCTTCCAAAAGGCCATTTTCAGACATGACAATCCATCAATGAAGGAAATATCTTCTTTAGGGAAAAAACTTCCTTGAATTCAGTTTTATTATTTTATTTATATTATATAGGCAATTGATACTTATAAAATAATAAATATCAATTGCTCTATTCAACATCATGCTATCCCACTCATATAAATGTTACAAATATAGATATAGTTTTACGTTCAAGTGCAATGATTGACATTTCAAATATTAAACTGCACTTAGATTTGAATTTACGATTTTAACCATGAGGCCAGATTTTAACCTCTTATTTTTGAGAAATTTGACTAGAAAATCTTAGTACTGTTCCACCAACTTTTCTTCCTCTGTGATCCTGAAATACATAAAATAAAACAAAATTCCTTCAACAGTTCTTCATTTAGAAATTATTCAAAATATTCTAAAAACGCAAAGAATCATGTCTCCTATTGATCCTCTGAACTGAAAAACAATAAATTTCAAATACCTTTCAATAAATGCTGCATTGCTACTTCATTTTATAATATCTATACAATAGATATTATCTCCAAACACATTTTAGCTTTAAGAGTTGGCCTCAGAAAAGCAAAACAGTATTCTCCATCTTCTCTGCTTTTTCTCCATGTTTTCTCAATACAAGCCATGTCATAAATGTAATATTATCTACAATATCTTCATTTTGAAAAACGTCCTCATGCTGGGGAGAACACCAAGGGCTCTTCCCCTCCCTTCAAGACAGAAAGTGGAAAGTGCTACCCCGATGGTTCTGCCTTGTCTTGCCTTGAAAACAAGACCGCATAAGCTGCTGCAAGGGATAAGTTTCCTCTGTTGTGCTGGGGAAGTAAGATACAGGAAAGGGGTGAAATATTTCTCTTTTCTGCTGCCTGACTCTCCCCCCAATTCTTCAAGTGTGAATCCAATGGTTTTGGTCACCATAGCAATCCCTGCACTTGCAGTCCTCCAGTTGATGTTGTGGAAGATGACAGATGTTACCAATGGGAAACAACTTTGTGGTACAGCTACTCCTCACTTTATGACTACAACTGAGCCCAAAAGTTATTGTTGCTAAATGATAAATTTGCTAAGTGAGTTTTGTCCCATTTTACGACTTTTCCAATCACACTTGTTAAGTGAATCACTGCAGTTCTTAAATTAGCAACACGGTTGTTAAGTGAATCTGGTTTCCCCATTGACTTTGCTTGTCAGAAGGTCGCAAAAGGGGATCACATGACTCCAGGATACTGCAACAGTCATAAATATAAGTCAGTTGTCAAGCATCTGAATTTTAATCACATGACCATGGAGTGGCTGCAATGGCGATAACTGTGACAAATGGTCATAAGTCACTTTTTTCAGTGCTGTTGTAACTTTGAACAGTCACTAACTGAACTATTGTAAATCAAGGACTACCTGTACACCTTCAATGAGTCACAAAAACGATCAGTTAACTGCCCAATAAGTGTCTATGCTCTCTAGCAGCAAAAAAAAATGGCGACAGAAGTAACAATCCCTGTAGCCTGGTGGAGAGTGGTTAATCCTGCATGCAGCAGCTAAATCCTTGCAGTGCTGACTGGTCTCCAGCTCTGCCTCTATACTAATCAGATTTATATAGAAAAAATTTTTGCACTGGCAAACACTACTTTCCTTCTCAATCTCTTTGTTCCAGATTATGGTGTAAGGACATGTTTTTAGAATGCCAGGCCATTCTAGAGCTAGGGCAGCGGACTCCCAAGTTTCTCTCTTGGAGATCTGTGCAAATCTTACTTGTGACTAAATCTCATTACATTCAGTAGAATGTTTAGCCCTATGGTGTGTTCCCATAAGTCATTAGTTCAGTCTGTTTAGTTCTAACCCCAGTATATGTGGGCAGAATTTGAGCCTCAAGGATTATTAGATGATACATTTTGGTAATCCGTCTCCATTCGCCAAAGCACCTGAAGGCAGGACAAGAAGCAATGGATGGAAACTAATCACAGAGAGAAGCCACCTAGAACTAAGGAGAAATTTCCTGACAGTGAGAACCATTAATCACTGGAACCACTTGGAGAAGTTGTGAATGCTCCAACACTGGAAGTGTTTAAGAAGAGATTGGACAACCATTTATCTGAAATGGTATAGGGTTTCCTGCCTGAGCAGGGGGTTGAACTAGAAGACCTCCAAGGTCCCTTCCAACATTCTGTTAAAATATGATCTTGACCTTTGAACTATACCCGCGTCGAAATGAATGGTCTCCCCATCCAAGAGAAGTATCCCTCCGAAGTCAGAGGGATAATGGCGCACGTTACCTCAGCAGGTTTCGCAGCCGCCCCATTCCAAATCCCTCACGCCTTCGAGAGATCCAGTCACCGCCGCCGCCGCCACTGATCTCATTCCTTCTTGGCGGCTCTTCCCTTCCTCCTCCTGTATCTTTCCGATGAGTTCCGCACTTTCACGACGACCAAACTGCCTGCCTTTTCTCATTTTTTTAAAAAAAATACTATTTTAATATCTTTTGGGGCCAGAAAACCATTCCTACACTTGTTTGGCCAGGAAATTTAGATCTGTTTCTGGCGAATCTGTGACAGGGAAACAAAAATACCCGTTGTCGAATATGCGTTTTCTTGTCCTTTTGGCTATACAAGGGAATAATAACCCATCTTTGGTCCAAAGTTTTTACTGGGCATGAAAATATGGGGCGACGGGATTTTAAACATTCAGGATGTGGGCGTTGGGGTTGGTTTGGCTCCATGACCGAACAGAGTTGAGTTTGGAAAGTGCCGGAAGCCAAACGGAAGAGCGGTTAGAGTCACGCCCGCTTTCTTGTGCTCTGGCGGGCCGGGAGGGAAAACCGATGGCGGCGACTGGCGGCCTGCCCTGTCTTTTGCCTTCGCAGAGCCAGTTGGACTACGCGCTGGAGGATGCGACCACGCTTCAAGAGAAGGAGAACTTGGTGTATCAGCACGTGAAAAAAGTGGACGGTTGGGAGCGGGATTTGAAAGTCCCCGAATTTGGAGCAGGTGAGCAGAGCCTTTGTCCACCGGCTCAGCTACCCTAAGTAGTTGGGCGTCCACGGGTGTCTGAGCTCTTTGCGGGAGCCGTCAAAACTTTTTTTTTCCGGTTTTCAGATTTCCCCTGCTTGTCAACTTCTAGCTTTGCTTTCCTCCTGAGCGAGTATATTGGGATTTTAAAAACCCATCACATCCCCTGATCTTCTCGTTGCTCTTCCCCGAGATTGGTTCTGATTTCTCTGGATCGTTTTTTTTTTAAAGAATCGTGTTTGACAAAGGAGAATATTTGTAGCTAGTGTTGAAAAAGAAGGGTACTTGGTACTCTCTGAGCTACAGAAGTAGCTTCCAAATTGTAGTAAATAATAATATTTATGTTGCTCACTAACATAATTCTGAAGGATGCTTGGTACTGCCTGAACTCGGTTGTTTTCTTGCAGATGTTTCATTACCTAAACTAGGTAATGTCTGTGAAAGTAAGGAATGGTGCCAACAATCAAGAATTAAACAGTACCTAAGCTAACAGTAAACAGCCCAACCAAAGAACCTCTAAGACCTGCCCCACCAACACTGACAGGACAAGCCACTGATTTAGAATATAAATTGAGAGCATACCCCATTCCTTACTAGCACTGATGATGTTGCCTAGTTTGGGTAATAAAATGTCTACAGGAAAACAACCAACTCAGATAGTACCAAGGATCCTTCAGAATTATGTTTAGTGAGCACCATAATTTGGAAACTACTTCTGTTGATGCACTCTGAAATTGTATATGCTTCTTTTTTTTATTCAGTCATATCTCACCACTGGCTCATATTTGCTATTTGTAACAATCTACCATTGTTACATGGTACTTTTACACAAGGCCTCAAAATTGTACTTTGGTGTTATGAATCTTTCATATAGAGTATTACATGTTCTCTATTAATTTACATTTGGTTATTTTAAGCCTATTTTGACAGCCTATCAATACTGTTTTGAATATCATTTTTTTCTTCTTCTGCAGCACTAGTGGTCTTACACAATTTGTATCATAAGCAGTCTCTCAGTCTCAACATTCAAATGATAAATAAAATGTTTTTAAGTATTTATTGTTTTATCATAAAAAGTAAAATACAAAACAAAAAAAGAAACAAAACAAAAGCATATATTCAACACTAACAACAACAAAAAAACAAAAAAGAAAAAAGTGATCAAATAAATTTAATATTAACATGTAGAATCCACCCTGACTGGTTGCTGAAAAAAAAGAAAAAGTAAATTCTCGTCCCCTTTTACATACACACACTACACACACACAATGTGTGTGTGTGTGTGTGTGTGTATGGACTGAAATTTATAGCATTCTGCTTATTTCTCCAGTTAAATAGAAAAACATTGATGAGAATTTTTGTATGATTTTGAGCCCTCTATGTAACCTTTTACTTGTCATATCATCTATCCTAGTGATTCTCAATGTTTTCTTCACTATGCAGCCCCCAACACTTAACTCAAGATTTAAATCATAACATTTCTTCAAGTCTTTGCAGACCTCATGTGATGACATTCCCCCACCCCCCAGGAGTCTGGGAACCACAGATTGAGACCTACTGATCTATCCTGTGACAAACTCAATTTCATTGAGGGCCACATCAGGGCTATAGTTGACCTTGGGGGGGGTAGGCTGGGCAGGTATGGCCAACTGGGAGGGCATGACCAGCTTGACATCACTCAGTGGGCATAGCCAGCTTGACGCCACTTCCCAAACTGCTGCCATGTTTTCTGTTCGCATTGGGTAGACCGGGCCGAAGCCAGGCTGGCCTGATGTTTCCTCTTCGCATTGGGTAGACTGGGCTGAAGCAACACAGGCTGGCCCCTTACATTTTCCAGGACGGCCCTGTGGGCTGGATCTGGCCCCATTGTGGGCCTGATCCAGCCCACAGGCTTTTTGTTTGCCACCTCTGCCATAGATGATTTGACAATTTTTATGGGCTGGAAAGAGACAATAGTAATTGTCTCTTTCACCTTTGTCTTTTGTTGCCTCATAACCATTCCCCTACCCTTTGGAATATTGACTTACCTGTTTAGTGTCTTGTACACATAAAAAGCAATGTGATCAAACCAGTAGCTTGGGCTGAGAGCCAAGAGCTTGCTACATAGACAACTTATTCTTTTTATATTCCTCTTTTTAATTTCTAAGCTCTGCAGGTGAGGGGGAAGCAAGTGATTTATTCATTGCTTTTAGTGTGTATATGAGCAAACAACTTTCTCTCTTGCAATCTCTTCCTCTCCAATCTCTCTGCTCTTTTTTTAGATAGGGAATAGGTCAGGCAAAGAAGAGATTGCTTACTGAAATCACTTTTGAGGGGGCCCCCGCAGATCAGAGATTGGAGAGAAAGAGATTTCAAGAGAATAAACTATTTGCTCTTATACATAGTGAAATCAGTGTAGTCACATCATCACTCTGAGAGCCACAGGTGTGTTATGGAAAGAGATTATAGTACTCCTTTGAAATCTCTTTAATCCTCACTCTGCAAGAAGAAGGCAGAAACAAAGCAATTTCTGTAAAAAAATTCTCCTTTCCTGATCCATCCTTTCCTCCTCCAGAATGAAGAGATTAGAGAGGAAGAAATTTCAAGAGAGTACAAGTATTCCTCAAGTTATGACCATTCATTGAATTACTGTTTGAAATCATGATGGTACTGAACAGGGAGTCTTATGACCGGTCCTCAAAGTTCCAGCTGTGGCAGCATGCCTGCAGTCATGTGAACAAAATTTGGGTATTGGCCAGCAGCTTGCACACTTTGGTTGCAGCATCCCATAGTCATGTGACTGCTGAACTTCGCTTCTGGTTTCCCACAAGCAAAGTCAGTGGGTAAACCAGCAGGGAAGGTAACAAATCCCTTGGATAAATCCCCCTCCCCTCCAGCCATTCTTTGCTGGTTTGTACCCAATAATAGCCTCCTTCCCTGGCCTCCCTGCGCTTACATGTATGCTCAACTTCCATACCTTGTTTCTCTAATCACTCTGCCTTGCACTCATACATACATGAACTCCACACCCTCTTTCCCAGCCTTCCTGAGGTCTCCTTCCCAACCTGTACATAGCCTGTACTTTATCTCCCCTCTCCAGTCCCATGTGGCACCCTCATACTCCTTCTCTGGAACATTCTTCACTTCTCACTTAATGACCCACATGTTTTGGTATTTTGATGAGAACTACAACTGCCTAGATTGCCATCACTAAGCAATGTAGTTAGAATGCAATACTGCAAACTACTTCTGCTGACTGCTGGCTGCCAGCAGTTTGGCAGTTCAAATCTCACCAGGCTGAAGTGGCTCCAAGGTGGGTAAAATGACGACCCAGATTGTTGGGGGCAAAATGCTGACTCTGTAAACCACTTAGAGGGGGCTTTGAAGCAGTATTTAAGTCTAAGTGCTATTGCTATTTTTGATCTGATCACTTAACAAAGACAATCACAATGGCTATCATAAATTAAGAATTACCTGTAATAGTTTGATTTTCTGTACATCAAGAGTAGTGTAATTGTCCCAGCAGCAGGAAAGGGTCAGGCAAAGGAGAGGTTGCCTACAGAAATTGCTTATTTTTTCCCCCTCTCCCATCACAGGATAGAGAGATTGGAGAGAAAGGAGATTTCAAGAGAGTAAGCTGTTTGCTCTTCTATACATTCAGAGCAAAGCAATAGTTTAAGCAACAAGAATTTACTATTTGCATAAAAAATTCTACTCACAGACTGTCCTTACTTCTACCTTATTGATTTACCCATTACCTATGCTTTAAATTTTCTGATATCTTTCTCTGAATAATGCATCAACTCCATCAAGCCACCTCTTTTTTAAGTCTTCCCCCTTCATCTCAATCATTCACTCTTCTTTCATACGCTGTTTTATAGTTCTTTCCTCATACTTTTTCCCTAAACGTTGAAACCATTTCAGTGTATTTCTTTTGTATTGGAAGTTATATTGTATAGACCTTATTGCATGTATTTCAAAAAAAAATGTTTTTGAAAACGCTTGAGACTTCTTTTGTTGTTTCAACAAAGGTACTAATGATATTCTGTGCCTAATCTCATTATATTGAATTACATTTGATGAAGCAGATAGGAAAACAAAATATCGATATTGTTGTAACATATATCATCTTGCTATGCTTTATAATTAGAAACTTTGTAATTAGAAACTTTGTAAATGGATTCTTGTTTATCTTCAAATAATTATATTATTTTAACATTAACTTTAATAGTTTTATTTTATCCTTTGTTATCTATTAAATAGACAGAATAATAAAAGGTATATTTTTAGATTAACTGAGCTATGAAGAATTACAGATTTTGAATATTAAGAATATTTTTGTTTTAGAAATTCATGATTTTTTAAAAATAGAATCACTAGTTATTTCAGAATATGCTTAGTTCTTTTAATGTCTTAAAATAATGTACTAATTAGAACTTTGATTTCAGATTTACAGTGGCTGAACACTGAAGGTTCACTTTCTTTTTATAAACATCTTTGTGGAAAAGTAGTGGTATTAGATTTCTTCACCTACTGCTGCATCAATTGCATCCATATTTTGCCTGATCTTCATGATTTAGAGGAGAAGTACTCTGATAAAGGTATTAAACCAGTCAATGCTTTGTTCAAAGATAGATAACAGAATTGAGAGGGCTTGGACTTTGACTACTTGTGGGAACATAACAACTCTAAGCCGATTCTCTTCTTGACTCTGCCTTTAGGCTCTGCCTCTCCTTCTACTACACTCTTCTATTCATGAACTAGAGCCAGCATGATGCCTCAGCCTTACTTTCCTGCATGTACCAACAATCAGCTAGTGAAAATTTGGCCCTCCTTCCTTAGCTGCTCCTTCATTTCTAAATCCTTTAACAATAAAGATAGGAACTATACATAAATGTAATTGTATTCTCAGTTGCAAAAAAAATGTTCTCATTCTTTTAAAGATTAAAATGTAGGCAGTGCATGGAGATTTCATTGGGTGGTGTGTGCCTTTTCCAAAAATCCTACTATTGTCTAGTAGTTTCTGATTGCAGAAAGTCTTAAAAATGTCTAAGAGTACAAGCACAAATTGCTATACATTTTACAAAAAGCCACATTACTCCTCCAAATATAGTTGTTTCAGATCCAACGCCAATATTATAGATGATGCTTAAATACAGAGAATTGTTTCATTGTCAATGTTAGTGCATATCTTTTATTATTATGCCATACCTAAAAATTGTAGGTCTATATTGATACATGCATCAAATCTACAGGAATTAATGCCAACTAACATATTTGTCTAATGCTTTCCTGTCTTATCCTTGCTAGGGCTATTTCTGCATTCATAATGGTATTCACAAAGTTATTTTAAACCCTAATGCACATTCTTATCATATTGACAGTCTGGAAATGACCTGTTGGACTGCTTATGAGTAAATGCTTCTTGACAGAAATACTTTGGGATAGAGCCAGTTCTTTTTCAATGCAGTTTTAAATCTAGCCTGATCCTAGAATTTTACTGTGCAGGTTTTTATTCTTTTTGCTCTGTTGTCAATGAAATTGTCTTAAAATATAGCTTACTTTTCTTGTAAACAGAAAACATATTATTCTAATCAAATTGATTTGCCTAAATACAAATTGCTAGTGTCTGGATTATTGCTTTGACCTATACAAAATCAGAACACACAACAGATTGTGTTCTATGATTTTTCATTCATTCTCTTTTTTTGTCTATTGCTTCACTATGCATTGAAACAACTGTGAAGTTTTGCTTATCTTTCAGATGAAATTATGAGCAGCAGAAATAGGGGTAGAACTAGCAGATCCCATTTCAGTAGCAACATTATATTTATATAGTAGCAGTGTAAAACATGAATGTATTGCATATTCATTAATCATTTATGTACTATATTTTCTGTTGTATTTTTATTTATAGAGATGATGAAATTTGGTATTTTATGATATTTCATTGCCATTTCTGTTCAGATTTTAATAGATATATTTAGTGTCATTATTATTATGTTTTATGGTGGCACAGTGGTTACAATGCAATGTTGCAGGCTAACTCTGCCGACTGCCATCAGTTTGATCCTGACTGGTTCAAGGTTGACTCAGCCTTTCATCCTTGCAAGGTCGGTAAAATGAGAACCCAGATTGTTGGGGACAATATGCTGACTCTGTAAACCGCTTAGAGAGGGCTGTAAAAGCACTGTGAAGCGGTATTTAAGTCTAAGTGCTATTGCTATTATTCCTTCATTTCAATGCATATGTACTCAAAACCAAATAGCACTCACTTTTGTCTATTTAGTGAAAGGAAACATAATAATAACTCTCACTTCTGCAGTAAGACTAAATTCTACTTATACAGTACAGATGGTAGCAGCTCTAGAGGTCCAATCTCTGCATTAATTCTGCTGCTTATCTTCAATTCTTAAAATAGGAAGAGGAAGGAAGAATAATTTATAAATTCTTGCAGACTTCTGCATGTCTTCAGAATGATACGCAAAGTACAGCATTATCCTTATTCCTATTAAATCCTTTTATCATTTTTTGAACTCTTATTCTAAACTTAAATGAAAAGATAGTGCATGAAATGTTTTATTATTTATTGCAGTACCTTTGATACTCTCTTTATCAGGTCATTTTTATAGCAGAAAAAAATATAATTGAATTCTAACCAAATAAACGATTAAAAGCATTTGTTCTATTTGGTAATAAATTAAATTAAATACAATATAAAAGTCACTTAAGCATGTGGGAAAGGATACTGAAATCAGACCTATCATTTCCTCAGTTCTTTTGATCTAGGATTCTGTCTCTTAAGAGAGCACAAGGTTATTTATGGTGATATTGTGTCAGCTGTGCATAATAGAAAAATGAACAAGATTTCTGGGACTTCCTTTTGTCAGAAGTTCCTCTCTGTATTTGTGTCATCCTGTCTTGTAAAGTGGGCTGCAAGAATAACCTTGAGAGACAGGGCAAAGAACCATAGCCTCAGACATCCCACTGAACTGTGGAATGTTGTTATCCAGTCTTCTGGTTTGTAAAGTTTCATTTAAAAAAGTACTGTAGGGGCTCATTTTGAAGTTGATTGTATAAGCTGTCCAGTATGCTAACCACCATAAAGGTGTGTTATAATATGTGCAATGTTAAACAAGACTCCAAGTTTTATTGTTGCTTTGTCTTGATTGAGGCTGCTCCCTTTCTTAGTTTAAATCTTGATGCTGAGGCTGTAGCTTCAGGCTCATTTTAATGCTTTATTATGAATTTTAGAAATATATTTTGACAATCCTTGATCTCTTCTGTATTACCCCAGAATATATCCTAGGAAGGGGCAATCTGAACCCAAGTGCTGTTACATATTTAAAGAAAAATCAGGAAGATATACATTTGTTTATTAGATATACATCCAGGTTTTCCTTCGAAATTGCTCTAAGCATCTAGCAATAATAAAAATAAAGATTAAAAAAAACAAAATTATAATTAAACAGATCTAAAACAATTATAGGATCCAACTCTTGGATAAGTATCAATTTATCTTTTGTCTCCATTGCAAAAGTCTGTCTCTAAATTTCATTGTTAGTCTCACAGAACGTCACTACAGTACTGTTTCTGTGATCAAGGAAAAAGTGATAAGTCAGTAGCAGACAAGGGCTTTGAGAAGCAGGGTGGGGAAAGATGGCAGCTAAAGCATTATGCTCACAGCCCTATTCCTTGGTATGTGTACAACATCAACACTTAAACAAAGGCAGCACTTTGAACAGAATGCTTTCATCTTGCTCTTTTGACACTACCAACCTCTGTATTGATAAGCTCTTTGTTTTACATGCAAAAATGCCATGATTTGAGTAGAAAAAAACTTGTGTATGAACCTTAAAAATTTTCATTTTCATTAATAGAGACAGCACTAAGATAGATGAAATGGTATTGTAAGTCAATTTAACTCAATATGATATGAGCTGCAGTGGTGCAGTGGTTAGAGTGCAGTACTGCAGGCTAATTCTGCTGATCACTGGCTGCCAACAGTTTGGCAGATCGAATCTCACCAGGCTCAAGTTTGACTCAGCCTTCCATCCTTCCAAGGTCGGTAAAATGAGGCCCCTGATTGTTGGGGACAATATGCTGACTCTGTAAACCGCTTAAGAAAGGGCTGTAAAGCACTATGAAGCGGTATATAAGTCTAAGTGCTATTGCTATTGCTTACAGAAAGAAATTTATTCTAAACTACTGGATACCTTTCTTGACAGCACATGTGAAAAAATCAAAGTGACACTACCCTCTCCCAAATATTCTAAAGCATTCTAAAGAATACTTTCACATACATAGAGGAGCCGAGGTGACTCAGTGGTTAGGGTGCAATACTGCAGCTACTTCAGCTGACTGCTAGTTCAGCAGATCAGCGGATCAAATCTTACCGGCTCAAGGTTGACTCAGCCTTCCATCCTTCCGAGGTGGGTAAAATGAGGACCCAGATTGTTGGGGGCAATATGCTATTTAGTATACTGTCTTTGGTGTAAGCCGCTCAGAGTCCTCGGAGAGTGGGCGGCATAGAAATATGAATAATAATAAATAAATAAATAAATAAATACATAAATATAAATAAATACTTCTAAATGATGTTAACAAAAAGGCACATATGAAAAAATAGGAAGTTTTGCCTCTCCATTTACAAATGTAGGTTAACCCCATAAAATGTACAATGTAATAATAATAAGTCTGAGAAAGTTATAATCCCCATCCCCACATGGGCAAATGCACTTAGCTACAGGGATTTTACTGTACCTGCCTTATAGAATCCAGATGAAAATATGTTGAGTATAGCTTTAAATTCTATTTTGTTGAAATAGCCTATTAACTTCTATCTGGAATTACATGCCCCTTATTGTTTGAATAATTAATTGCTTACTTTGATCATAACATATTACGAATACTGTAATAGAGATAACCCATATGAAGTCAACTTATGCTATATTGTCTGCTTCCAGGGTGAGGAAAAGTTATCTATTATAATTAGAGAAGTCAACCAACAGGAAAGCATTTTGATCCAATAAGAGCAATAAGCCTCTAGCACATTTTATAACACTGTTAGTAGAGACCTATATATTTTTACAATGAAATTTTCTATATGTTTGTTCTTGCTGAAAACCACATACATAGTATAACTATCACACATACATACATACATACATACATACATACATACATACATACATAATATTTAAATGTTTCATTGTCAATGCCATAAATCTCATTGTTTGTTTTTTCTCTTGCTTTCAGATGGTGTCCTTGTTATAGGTGTTCACTCAGCAAAATTTCCAAATGAAAAAGTTTTGGATAACATCAAAAGTGCTGTTCTTAGATATAACATCACTCATCCTGTGGTAAATGATGTTAATGCAACCCTCTGGCATGAGCTAGAAGTGTCCTGCTGGCCAACCTTGGTAATTGTTGGACCTCGTGGCAATATCTTGTTCAGTTTGATTGGCGAAGGGCACAAGGACAAACTATTTCTATTTACATCTATAGCCTTAAAATACTACAAGGAACAAAGGCAAATTAATAGTAATAGAATTAGAACACAACTATATAGAAACTCATTGTCATCTTCACCTTTGCTGTTCCCTGGGAAAATTGCAGTAGATAGTTCTGAAAACACCCTGGTAATAGCTGATACCGGACATCATAGGATTTTGATTGTGGAAAAAAATGGTCACATTCTGCACATCATTGGAGGTAAGGGTAATCTAAATATATTTAAAGATCTGATACTTTATTGTTTTGTTCTGTTGATTAATGATCGAAATAAAATTATTTTAAAACCTTGCATTTTATCTTGACAACTCTCATGGCAAATCCTGAATTCTGTCTGTCTTCTACAGTTCTTTAATATTGCAAACTATATTAGCTATATTACAATTAGTTTCCAGTCCTACAAAATGCTTCTTTGAGTGTATATGGAGCTGCAAATAAATAATTATCTAATTCTGAGCTCTAATAACCATACAAAATTTAATAAGTCATGAAAATGATACTACATTTTTCAGACTTGAAACTGGTATACTACAAATAACATGAGCAGTACACTCTATGAAATTCAATTAGTGGTTGCTTATTGTAGCACATAGCTGACTGCATGTTTTCTTGGCATTGCATTCCATTTTGCATTGTATTACACAATTCCTTGTCTTTGAAAGCTGAATCTTTAAAGGAAATGGTTGTAGATGCAATAAATGTGTGTGTTTGTTTGTTAATGTTTAAAGATTAATAGATTATATTGCAAGGCATTCTATAAGTTTAAAAATTCTGCTTTTGAAAAAAAAATATCTACACTTTTCTGTGGAAAAATAATATTAAACATATTGACTAATATTGATTTTATTTGATTATACCCACAGCTGTATTGCTGTTCTAATTAATATAAAAAAAAATTCTTTGCAACCTAAATCTGATATGACTGTGTACCCATTGTTGACAGCAAAAGTTATACTTTTATTTTATGTTATTTTTGTTCAAGGACCAGACAGGGGAAGAAATGATGGAAATTTTTCAGAAGCATCGTTCAATTGTCCACAAGGAGTTGCCATAAAGAACAATATTATTTATGTAGCAGATACAGAAAACCATCTAATTAGAAAGGTAAATTGATTAATTATGTTCTATCATGTCAGTACCAATTTAGCAACAATATAGACAATCTGTCCCTAACCTGGTCCTTACCTTGAATTTCTTTATGGATAAAAAAACAATGCTGACACAATTATTCAAGGGCTATGCAATGTGACCAGCAATAATATTCCTAAATATATTTTTATTCCAAGTAGATTTTAAAAAGTATTATTTTTCTTTTTGTATAAGCTTTTAAAGCAATTTTGTAGGTAGTTCTCATTTAGCAACTGCAGTTGGGATCAACCACCTTGTTACATGACTGTAACTGTGGTTATGATTTTATTTCAACTTTCCTTTGCTTTACGGCATTGGGGGAATATGGGTCCAAACAATGGGTCGAGTCCCAACAGTGAAGAATGTTCACATACAAAGAAGCTGAGTAAAAGGGCAAATCTAATAGTCTTTTTTGTTTTACCATTCTGCCACCTTTTGGAACACACTCTCAATGCTAGGATAATTAGCAAGAAGGAAATTAATGTTTGCATTTACATTCAGTGGAGAAGAAAAAATTATTAGTGAGTAAGCACCCACTGCACATTTGCAACTGTGAGCTGCTTAGGAGCCAAAAAGCCTTCATTGTGAAATTGATTACATTCTTGTCAGCAGCAGGTAGCAGGAGAGTTCTAATCAACTAATTAAGGTCATAGATCTGAGTTCGTTAACTTGCAGTTAGCACCTTTCAGGAAAGAGCTGCACTGCAAAGAAAAGCAGGTCACGAAGAAGGAACATGTTCAGGCAATCTCTTCACTCTGCAAAGAGGTGGGATGGGGAAAGAAAACATGTCAGGCATAGAACAACACATATGATCTGATTATAATGACAAACATGTGACAGAGATGCTGCAAAATCTCTTTTTCATATATTTTTATTCATAAATAAAGACACTGGTCTCAAAAGTTACTTTTTTATCACTGTTATAACTGCGAGCAATCACTATCTGAGGCAGTTGTGAAACAAGGACATGGACCGTTAAAAATCAGTTGTTCACTGCATAGAACAATGTGTGCCTATATGCATTGTATCTTATTCATATTCTTTCCATTGAAAACCATTTTATAACTTTTTAATAAATTCCATATCAAACCTTATTTTCATTAGCATCGCGAAATATCGGTATCTTGGTGCTGATAATAATCTCCAACCAACTTAGATTCTGCATATATGAAATCATCTCTACTTGTCATGTAGTGTTAGTAAGAAGTTCCAAACTTTCCATGTTAGTATTTTTATTGAGTTGTAACATCTGAAATGATTACCATGTCTACTCACTACTCTTAGAGTTAAGATTTAAAAAGCCAGGTTTTCATTTATACTGTTCTATATTTTTTTATATAAACTTTTTTGTCATTAATTTATATTGTGGATTAGTCCTATAGATATTAAATTAGGATAACTTTTATTTCAATTAATGAACTTTATTATCTCATTTCATTTGCTTTTTTTGATGAAATCTAGTGGTTCTCAAATATTTTTGTCTCAGGACCTTTTTACATTCTTAAAAATGTTTGAGGACATCAAAGAGCTTTAGTTTATATTTATGGATTAGCAAATTAGAAATTAAAATTTATAAAATTTGAAGTATTTATTAAATTTATAAAATTTAAAGTATTTGTATCTTTGACTTTTGGACTCCCTGAAAAGTTCTCAGGGACCCCAGGGTCTCTAGACCACACTTTGACAACCAATGTTTTAATTGAAAAAAACCATTGTTACCCCTAGCAGACAAGATATAAATTCTTCACTAAAGATATAAACTATTTCAAAATTAAAGATATGTGCTACTCTGGTACTAACTATAAAGCAGGGCAAAACAAGTTCTCCTTGCTTGCACAAGTATAGTATGTTCAAAAGAAATATTACAGTATTAAAGTTATTTTGTTAAAAATGGTTAACAGTATAAAAAGATGTACCATTTTAAAAGTTTACTGGAAAAATAAATGAATTCTTTGTGCTCTTTGAGTTTGTTTGTTTGTTTGTTTGTAATTACAAGCTCAGAAAATACCAGTAATTCCACAGATCAACCCTGAATTACACACATTCTCTTTTATTAAAATAAATCAACAATTGATTCTAGATTGACCTGCGGTTGGAGTTAGTGAGCACTGTTGCAGGAGTTGGAATACAAGGCACTGATAAGGAAGGAGGAGCCAAAGGAGATGAGCAGCCTATTAGTTCACCATGGGATATAACTTTGGGAAGCTTAGGTATTTTTATGATGTTTATATTTTATATTTATGATGTTTTTTTCAATGATTGTAGTCAGCTTAATACCATTGCCAGTTAACTAATTTTTTTCTTCTACTGATCCCTTCCCTTATCTCATGAGCACACAGAATTATGAGTCATCAATATTTACAATAATTTCTATATTTTGAAAGCAATCACAATTTTTTTAGTCATGCGCTCAATTATATGCCCAGATACATAACTTGAATATTAAATATATAATTTTGTCTCTTGTAGCAAAATAATTTTGCAAATGAAGACAAATATATATGTCCCAGGATAATGTTGCAGGATCTAATCTGAGTTGGTCATCCGGACCAGAGGTTTGTTCTTCAAAGCTTTTGGACTCATGTTGGAGCCCATCTTCAGGGAGCTTTTCAATCTCACAGGATGTATGCACTGGGCTCTTTTATGCATAGTATTTAAATGGTGCCTGGTTGTGTGTGGCTTTTAATTGTTGATTGGGTGGTTGATGGCCAGCTATTAAGTCTTTGATTGTTGTTTTCTTGTGCTGCTAGGGTCTCGGCTTCTAAGTACCGGGTAACATAGAGGTAAATCAGCATTCCTGTTGACTGTCATGAGGCCCATTTCCCAGGTTTCAATCATTTCTCTGACTATTTTTGTCCCTTCTCAGCCAACAATCTTAGTAGCTATGAAATTGAATGTCCTTATTCATTGCAATGTAAGACTACTAGTGAGTTCAGGTCTGTGTGCTACATAGGGGCAGTCCATGCACGGAATCTGGTAAATTACACTATAATTTTCTCCTACCTTTGTATCACACAGATTTTAAAGCCAACCATCAACACCCCACTCGACAACTAACAGCCACACACAATCAGGCACCACATAAATACTATGCATAGAACAGCCCAATGCACACATCCTGGAGATTGAGAAGTGTGCTAGGAAACGGCTTAAGTATGAGTCCAAAAGCTTGGAAAAACAAACATTCCAATGAACAATTATTATAAAGTTAAAAATGTAGAATATTTTCCATGTTTTAATACTAAATACAGTTTATTCCTGACGGTTCTTGTTTAAGATTACTGTTCTAAAATAGTTTGTACTCATTTTATTCATGTATATTAATGCAAAATATTTTGCTCTCAGATATAAGTGAAAGGGGAGAAAAGTTTGAGAAAAGTTACAGACCCATTTTATTTAATTGAGTTTAATCCTAAAGAGTAAAATGCTTTCCAATACTTTATACCCTATTTATAATTATTTTTCAAAACAGTTAGGAATGTTTATTTACTTATTTAACAATAAAATCCAGTATGATAGATAGCTGCTAAATCACACTACAAAAATTAGACACAATGAACTGTGTTTCTTTAAGGAGTCTAGGATAAAGGCAACAGTTTATTTACAACATATCCTTATTTCACATATATTTTCATACTTCCACCCAGAATATCTTTCCCGTAATAATCTTGTGCTTATTGTATGTATGGTTTATATATTCATACTGATAAATATTATTAACCTGGTCATATTGATCAAGAGTTTTTTTAGTTTTTTAGTTATTTAATTTTAAAATATACAAGTTAATAATATTTTTCTATGTTTTCATATATTTAATTCTTCTACACATTCTAGAGAACTGGATTTGGGGCTGTTGAGAGGTACAGAAAATAAATAAATTGGAACTAAATTATTTTGTCAGCTATTTTTATAATTTACAAAAACTTATTTCCCCTAAACTAATTAATATTTTAATCTAATTTTCAACAATATGGTTAAGTGTATCAAAGTAGTGAGTAAATAACTTACCTATTTTCCTTACAAACTATTTTATTAGGGAAGTAAATCCTCTTCTATCCTTTTATACTTGTTTTTAGGTAACATAAAATTTACCTGTCAATTTTCATATTATAAAAAACTTACATTTTAAGAAGTTATAAACACTACTTAATTATGCATATTAAGTTTAGAAAAATTATATTTTTAATTTTAATTTTTAGTTAAGGAAGAAACATAGTAAATTAAATATATTGATAGTTGCTGTTCCGAAATCAAGAAAACTTTTAAGGTGTTTTCTGGATTTGGGGATATTGTGTATAGAAAACAGCTCTTTTCAATAGCAAATATGTGAAACCTGAATGGCAGAACCAATCAAATGTATAATTTACATTGCTTTTTTCAGTAAGATTAAAAAAAATGGTAGTATAAAATATAAATTACATGGTCATAAAGCCAAAAGTCTGGCTCTAATTATATTACAACATGACAACGTGTTTATATTCAATCAAGACATCAAGAAAATTTTTTAGAAACATGCATTCATTTTGTAACAACAAAGACAATTTAAACATATATAGCATATAGTTTAATCTTTTTCTGAATTTAATCGGAATATTTATATTTTAACTTTTAAAATAAAAAAATTTCCAGCTCTAGTGCTTTTGAATAGCATTGGCATCTTACTACTTTATTACTGACCATGTGCTTTTCATGTACATGTAGAGGATGTTCTTTCCATTCTCATCTATTTTTATTCAGTGCTATTGAAATCAAGCAGTGCTAAACGCATTTTTGGTTGAAGTGTGAAGTGTTCTTGATAGCTGCATTCTTTCTGAAAGACACAGATCTAAGACCTTGGTGTTATGATCTATAAGTGTAGCTATGATTCAAGCTTTTGTGTGCATAGCAAGCAAAAGTCACTATAATGCTACATAAGATAAGGATTTTAAGTAAACAATATTGAAATATGCAGCATATATGCATATATGAGTAAAGTCCTGGTGAAGGGCAAGTGTATATAATATTACACAACGTATGACAGTATTTAAGTGTAAAAAAATTGACAACCATTTTTAATGTACATTTGTCCTATTTAAAAGACAGTTTGTGATTGAAAACGTCACTCTTCACATTCATGGACTTTGATGCATAACATGCCTCGTTCTGCAACTCAACTCAATTCAGTTCAATTTTTTTTCTTCTTATTCTTCAAAAATAGATAGATATTGCAGAATCTTTTATGATTGCTTATAACAGTGGTTTCTTGGCATGAGTTTCTTATTTTTATTTAAAAATAAAATAAAATGTTCTTTAGCAGAAATTATCAGATACAGTATAAACATTGAGGGGATTAATATAGATATATCTTGGGACAATGATTGTCAACTTTATGTATTGATATTATTTAAAGAAGGAAGATTTCTAGCATTGGCCAATGGACCAATATATATTCCACATTCAGTTCTTGCTGTCTGTTCTTGGCAAGGTTTTTCAGACATGGTTTGCCATTGCCATCTTCTTATGGCTGAGAGAAAGTGACTGGCCCAAGTCTCACAACTGGCTTTGTGCCTAAATTCAGAGTCTCCTGGATTCTAACCAATGCCTTAACCACTACACTAAGCTGGCTCTTAATCTGGAAATAATGTGGTAATATTATTGCAAATAGTAGTGGTTTTAGAAGGGCCATTGGCCCATTTCTGTAAGGAAAGCTCATTAGAGGTTAGCTATGGTAATACATTTTGTGTATTACCATGAAGGAGCTTTTAAAAAAATACATTCCTTATCTGGAATTATGCAAAGGGACATACTCACATTGCCAGTTTCTTTGAACACTAGAGTAATTCAGTAGCAGTATTTCTTTTTTCTTTTCCAACGGTACCATTTAATTCTACTTGCATTTGAACTTTTCTAAAGACTGGCATAGCTACTAAAGATAATCCTCAGGTTATGATGGCAATTGGGAGTCTAATTTCTATTGCTAAGTGATGCATTCATAAAGCATGACGCATGACCTCATTAAGCAGCAATTGCAATCCCAGCAATCCTATTTGCTATTGTAACCTCAGGATCCCACGGTTGTTAATTGAGGAGTTCACATGATCTCTCAATTGGCTTCTGAGTGTAATTCAGGATAAAATATATCATCTTTAAAGCCCTACATGGCATACAACTGGGTTACTTACAGGATTTCCTTTTCCCTATGGTATGTGCCTATCCCACAAATTCTGACAGGGAAGGTGTATTCCAGATCTTTCCAGGAGGAATGCTTTTTCAGTGCTAGTTCTTATGAACAATTTTGTTCTTGCCACAAAGTTGGCCGAGACTTCAGAAATCCTCTCAGGATCTGGTTCTTTCTTTGGGCTTTGGGTCATTATATGTGATGTTTTGGAGGATTGATTGGAGGATAATGGCATTTCTATTTGAATCACCATTTTATTACTTCATTATTGATTAGTTCATGTATTTTGTTTTGTTTTGTTTTTAAGGAATGACAAATGACATTTTGTTAATGACAAAAATTCACCACATAACTTGGAAATCCTCAATATTTTGTATCATAGTAAGGAGTTTTGGTTATAGTTTACCAAATACCAGTTGGTAATAGTGTCCACCAGGATGCGCTCTATTTTTATACTGTTCACTTACAATATCTATTAAATGTATTAAAATATTTTCCCAGAAAAGAAATTATTATTTTTCAGGAAATGATGAATCCCTTGGGAAGCACTAAGGTCACAAAGGTTTTTCAGAGCTATTAATTGTACAGTGTAAATAAATTCCAAAAGGAAATTTAGAAGCTCATATGTGTGTGTTATATAATTAATACATATTTTCCTCTATAATAATTTAGGACGAACAAGGGAAACCCATCAACTCTTAAAAGATTCAAGTCACGCACACAATGGTATTGCGTCAATACAGTATCATTTTCCATCCATACCCTAATCTTGTTGCTTTTATTGGACAACACAGCCTTTGGAAATTAAGGCTACTTCCACAAAAGAAATTAAAATGATTTCTTTCCTTTCCTTTGCCTGGGCTCATCACATGGGAAAAGCAAATAGGAAATTGTATTCCTAAGAAATAGCTTTCTGCTTAGGAATATACTTCATGCTGATTTTAAAATCACAAACTTGGCCACCTTAATAGATTATGCCATTTCTGATCAAAGTTGTTTTTTGTCTTTTTGGAATTCTGAAATTGATAAGATATAATCAAATATTTAAATTGCTGAAATGTAGTGCAGAACCGTAAGGATTTCTGAAACAAAACAAAGACCTAGAGTTCTAGAAATCCCTAAGAGAGCAACCATGCTCAGTAATTATTTGTTTAATGATATTCAAAGTTACAAGAGCACTGAAAAAGATGATTTTATGACTGGTCTTCACAATAACTATCACAGCATCTCTGGAGTCACATGATAAAATTTCGGGCATTTGGCAACCAGGAAGTATTTATGATGGTTGCAGCATCCTAGGGTCACATGATTTCCATTTGCGACCTTCTAGCAAGCAATGTCAATGGGAGAAGCCAGGTTCACTTAACAACTATATGATTCAATTAATAACCATTAATAACAATGGTTATTCACTTAATGACTATGGATAGAAGGTAAAATCAGGAATGACTCACTTAACAATCACATTGTTTAACTCTGGAAGTTCTGGTCCCAATTGTGGCCATAAATTGAGAACTATTTGTAGTAGTTAAAATGGAATTGTGTTTGAACACCTTTATAAAATTCCTAGAGGGAAGGACCTTTACAAACCTCTGGACGTAAGGTGTTCTGAAATACAAGAGAAATGGCAGAGAAGAACTGTTGATCTTTAGCTCTCATTTGAAGTGTGGAAAGTCTAAACAGGCCTTTTCATGACCTTCTTACTGGATTGAGCTAATGCAAGAAAGTGTATGATATAATCTAATGATACACAATATAGGCCTTTGTAAGACATCACTAGCCTTTAGATTTGAGTAACCTTTGCAATAACATTAGTACTGACATTAGGCTACTAGATTAAATCAATTTTTGCTAATTTTTAAAACTCTTTTCTATGCCCCTATGCTAATCCATAGTCTGGGTCTGGTAAAAACTTAACAGTTTAAGTCTTAACCAAGGACCTAAGAGGTATTAAGGTAGCGTTCCTCAACCTTTTACCAAGGACCAGTTCAGTGATGAGAGTTTTTCTGCGTACTGCAGGAGGTGTGGTTTCTTGTGCTGCCTGCATCCAGATGCACTTTTTTGCACAGCCTGGTTTCTGGCATGCCACGGACCAGTGCCAGTCCACTTTGTCTTTCAATCCAAGTTATCAAGTTCTAGCTGAGTACAATCAATTATTCCAGCGAAGTATCATATTACAGGAACTACCCAGGTTTATGATATTATTGTTCTTGTTTGTTGCACATTCAGCAAGATGTTTAGACTGGATTTGGCATTTTTATCTATCTAGTGATCTGGGATCTCAAGGACCTGTGATAGGCAGATGTTGATGTATGATGATGATTTGTAGCAAATTTATTTGCCGTTCATGTCAGGGTTCAAAGAGACGCTTATTTTTTTTCTGAGATTACCACAAAATTCTGAATCAAAGAGGTAGAAGTTACCAAAAATATTTTTATTCTTGTAGTACAGAGGCCTTTGCTAAATTAGAACCTTAGAACAACAATAAGCACAATTAGATACTACTGTAAACTGCTACGGTGTTAAGCAGTCCAATGCAACAAAATATTTCAAATCATAATTAGAATTAATATTAGTCCTTTGCTAGCTTTCATATCAGTTGAGATTGTTAACGAGTTTCAGTCCCACTCTACTCACCATTGATGTATCATTAGTTGCACAATGATTACAAACATTTCCCATTTTAGGAAATGGTAAATGTTTTATGGCATTTCTTGCTCTGGATTTTATTTTTTGAATATACTTAGAATTGACTAATTTAATAAGCACCTGGCAAGATTAAAACCTAGATTAATTTAGATTGCAAAGTGCAGGCACAATGGCTGGTGGGGATTTTTTTTTACAGTATTATAAAAATAGAATTATATATATTGAGCATTTTAATTATCCAAATTGAGAATGAAAACATGTCTATAGAGCAAGTTATTTTATATAAAGAGTGAGGCAATTTGCTACCAAAGTTGTCACTTTCATGTATTATTGTTTCAGCAACTCATGAAGATGGTGTTCTTTGGATTGCCATGGCAGGCATACATCAACTCTGGGCACTTATGTTGGAAAATGGAAAATTACCTAAAGGAAGGTAAATTAGAATATTAGACTTTCTTACCATCATCCTTTGATCATATTTGTTTATAGTATTTATTTATTAGACTTGTTTGGTGCCCATTTCGCCTAGGAATAGGTGATAATAATCTAATTGTGCAGCACTACTAAATATTATTATTATACATACCTTCTCAGTCTAGTTTTAGTTTATCCACTATTCAGAAAGAAATGCAAACTATTTGAAATAATGAGGATTTGAATGGGCAAGTTCTGTTTTCATTAAAGCAATAGTTGATTGATTCATTGATGATGATGGACCAACAACTTGATGTCAGCTCTTAATGACCACATAGATGAACCTTATCCTGGATGATCTACCCTGACCTGCCCCTTCAGATCTTCCAACAGTACATTTATCACTGCTATAATCAAGTTGTCTTCTTGATTAGGGTTGCTAGGAAAGGGTTGCTATTATGGAGGTATAATGAACTAAATCTATTTTGTAAGCTAATTGACTTCTTGGAGAAAAATAAGTTATAAAAGAAATAACTTTTAAAAATATTAGCAAGTATTACATACATTATAAAAATCTCCCTCTCTCTTTCTCTCTCTCTCTTATATTCACTGAACATTGCATAAAATATATTTCAAATTATTTCATAGTTTAAAAAATATGGAAAAGAAAGCTTATTTTTGTTCATAGCATCAAACACATTGAATGTAACTTTTTGTATAAATTGTAGGTTCAAGTGCATGCAGAGCCTATGTAAATCTCACCCCCATCCTTTTTTTAAAGTGATTTGAAGAAAGGAACTTGTCTTCGATTTGCTGGAAGTGGAAATGAAGAGAACCGAAACAATGCATATCCCCACAAAGCAGGCTTTGCTCAACCTTCTGGTCTCTCTGTTGCTGCTGAAGATCCATGGAGTTGCATTTTTGTTGCAGACAGTGAAAGTAGTACTGTTCGAACAGTTTCTCTAAAAGATGGCACTGTGAAACACCTTGTGGGAGGCGAGAGAGATCCAATGGTAATCTAAATCTATATTTCTCTGTGTTTTCCATTGATCCTACACAGCTAAATCAGAAAATTTCTGATCCTATGGATATAAGCTTATTTTAAATGCCAATTCATCACATTTTATTTGTTACTTACTACAATAGTTAATTGAGATCATTAAAAAAAGATTAACTTTCAGTACAATTGAATTAGTCTGCTAATAATCACCAAATACATGCCAGCAAGCAGATATATCAGCTGTGAAACCAGAAGGTACAAGATTTGTTTTCAAATGTTGTTTTAGGAAAAATAGTTGCTATATTAAATAATAAACAATCTTTTCTTATTGGTGGCTAACAAAAAGTTGAATTTTGCTATTCATATCTTTAATTACAATATTTTAAAATAGCCATTAATATTTTGAAATGAAGGCAGGCATAAGTAAAAAAAAGTGCTTAATAAAAAAAATTGTCTCAATATTTTATAATCATGAAGATTAACCAAAGGGCTATTCTGAGTGCTTCATTAAGAATTGTTAATATATAACCTTATGTCATTGCATCACTGAAGAAAAAATGATCTCTTTCATTATTTTTTTTGAGATTTGATTTTCTTTGTTTTGATTTGATTGGCTGCCCATCTTTATCTAAGTGATTCTGGGCAGCTCATAACAGGTAAAAACAATCCAATGCAAACAAATTAAAATGAATATAAAAAAACTTAGAAAACTAACCACAATAATTTAAAAAACAGATGATTAGTGGCACAATTTACCTTACATCAGCAAAACACAGGTATTAGAAGAGCTCACCACTTTTATAGTTCTGTTGCATAAAAACAGATAACAGTATCTGTATCTGTAGCTTAGAGCTAGGTTAGGAATATTCCACATTTCCAAGATCAACAAAAAAAAAAGCCTCTTAGAAACAGATTTCACTGTTTCAATCTATATAAGAATTCTTATTTTAAATATCTGAATTGATATTGTGAAATGGCAGGAGACAAATTTTGAATTGAAGTGAATTGAAATACCTTTATTGTCATTTTCCTGTTTACACAATGACACACATTAAAATAAAATTCCTGTGAACTGCTCTCAAAATATATATATATAATGACAGCAGCAACATTAAAAAATGCCAAATTATACAAAAATTAGACCAAAACATACATTTGTATGTGTGTGTTTGTGTGTAAATCATAGTCGATTTTGAATAAATAGAAGAAAAAAGAGTTGAGAGTTAACAAGGTTGATACTGTATGGTACAAAGCTATTACAGATTTTGGTTGTTCTGCTTCGGATACTGCAAAGCCTCCTCCCAGAAGATAACAAGGAAGACCAGTCATGCAGAGGATATGTAGAATCCCTGACAATACTGCAGATTCTGGTCAAGCATCACTTATATGCCATGTCCTGGATAGAAGGACGTGAACGTCCAATAAACTTTTATGTTGTCCTCATCATTCTCTGCATAGCTGCCTGGTCTGAAACAGTAACACTTTTCATGGTTAGACTGATAACCCAATAGATCAGGGTGTCAAACTCGATTTCATTGGAGGCTGCATCAGGGTTGTGGGCATGGCCAGAGTGAGTGTAGCCAGCTCGACATCACTCGTGTTGGAGGCGCCTGTGGTGGTCTGAGCACTCTGCCAGACAAAACAGACTCCTGAGCTCCGTTTTTGCTAGCAGAGGCACCACAGGCCAGTCCTTTGCTGTTTCCAGGACAGCCCCGCGAGCCAGATCTAAGCACCCCGTGGGCCGGATTGAGCCCCCGGGCCTTGAGTTTGACACCCCTGCAAAAGATATATGTAGGTTAGTTCTGAGATTAATGCCAAATTATCACTTATTGTCAAGAAAAAATGTTTTTTAAGAATCTACTTTGAATTCAAGTTAATGTTTTAGCAAGTCACACTGATTATTACTAACTTTAATCATCATTACAATGCCTCCCAAATATTTTTTTAAGAATTTATTTGCTTTTGGTGATGTTGATGGAGCTGGGACGAATGCAAAGCTACAACACCCGTTGGGAGTAGCTTGGGACAAAAAAAGAAGCCTCCTTTATGTTGCAGATTCCTATAATCATAAGGTGAGGTCGCATACTTCATTTTCACTAGAAAATATAATTTATTATTCAGTAATACAAAACTTTGTATTGCAGAATATGAAGGTACATCTCTTTGTATATTTACATGTATTATTGCAGTTGTTTTTATATTTCATATTTCAAATGATACTTCAGGCAAGTTTTGAATTTGTATAAAGTACCTCAGGAAAGTTTCTTAGATGAAAATTAAACAAATGAATTCTAGCAGTTGATGAATAACAGGTAAAAGTACTAAAGATGGAGTCAAAATGATAAAAATATTTCTTTCATTTTTTTTTACCCAGCAAACTAAAGAAAGGTTAGTGTCAGGCTCCCATGATTCAACTTACTAAAACTTAGCCAGACTCACAGCACATCAGAGCTAGACAAGACTCTTTATTGCATACTAGATGAAATGATTATAAACAGTTGAGCTGTTCTTATAGCTCAATGGTTAATGTCTGTGTTTCTTTTCCATACCTTTCCTGTTACCTTGTGTTTTGTAGCCTTGGATCTTGGTAGCTGTTGATTGTTGAAATAGCCAACATTTCTGACTTGCAAAAATCTAGCCTCCTAAACCTAGCTCCTACCCTTAGAGGTTCAAATCTCCATTACGTTATGATTTAATCCCCTCTTTGTAAATTTTATATTAGTCACGTTTATGAATCTAATCCATAAACATTACAGCAACTTGATGGATTTGTGTCCCTTAGTAAAATGTATATTAAATATATGGAAATGGATGAGATAGTTTAAGATGTCAAAATAATGTTAGAAAAGAAGAGGATAATATGTGATCTGTCAAAGGAAATTAATGTTGATCAAAATAAGCAGAAAGATTGTACATAAGAATGTTTTTTCTGCCTACATTATTATACAGAAGTGAGACTTTGGTATGAGAATAAATAAATTCTAAATGCAATGGGAATGGGTTACTTAAGTCTGTGTGATAAAACAAGAAGAGATAAGATCATTAATGTTTGGGCGGTGAATTAATGTGGACTGACCATAGAAATGAGACTTCCACCAAAGGAACATATTAAACTGATGTGATGCAATTTCAAAACTGAGGGATCCTTAGAGCTCTCTGACCTTAGTTCTTTTCTTGCAGACATTTCATTACCCAAACTAAGTAAAACCATCAGTTCTAGGACTAATAATGTTACCTAATTTGGGTACTGAAACGTCTGCAAGAAAAAATCCAGACTCGGAGAGCTCCTGGACCTTTTACCCTGAGTACAACTATTCTTTATTGGAAGCTCAAAACCTAATATATATGACAGAAAAATGATAGTCAAGAGGAAGAGGAAGACTGAGAAAGCTATTGTTCAACAGAATTGATGGAATCCTTAAAAAGAGAGGATTATATCAGCCTTACCAGGTAGACCAAACAATTCTTGATGAGCTAATTCTATTTTCTTGTCAGGCCACATTAACAGAATCTTATAAGCCTGAAAGTACAGATCTTCGTTTACAGCGCAAGAAACTGACCCACTTGCCCTCCATTGTACAGCTGTGGGCTGTGCAGTCTCTTATCTGATGGTTTCCTAGGTAGCATCTCTTTGTCCCATGGCCGATCTTACATATCATTAAAGAATATCTTCTCAAAATATTGGTTGAGAAGTTTAAAAAACAAAAGAATATATGATTGACTGATTGGTTGATAATCTTTACTACAATCACTGACCTAGAACGAAACAATCAGCTTCACAAAAAAGAATAAAAGGACAAAACATAGAAGGCCATGAGATAGGAAGGAAAGGAAAGACATTATCTTGAAAGAACAATAAAAACACCGTGAGCTCTAAACAATTTCTAAGATATCAATAAGACTGCGTATGACATTTACTGTAGTATAGTAAATTCATATAGCAGGATATTTAAAGTAGAACCTAAATCATAAATAATAAAAAATATTTTAAAAGTAAAATACTGAAGCAATGTACGAATCAGTGCATGGATGTGAAAACTAACATGGTTTTCAAGAACAGAAATATGCTAAAGAGAATAGAAATAGACTAGACTAGACTAGACTAGACTAGACTAGACTAGACTAGACTAGACTAGACTAGACTAGACTAGACTAGACTAGAATAGAATAGAATAGAATAGAATAGAATAGAATAGAATAGAATAGAATAGAATAGAATAGGACACACAAGGAATTTGTCTTTGGTGCATTTGCTCCCAGTGTACATAAAGAAAAATAAAATATATTCATCAAGAATCATAAGATACAACACTTAGTGATAGTCATAGGTTACAAATAAGGAATCAAATTATACTAGGAAACAAATAAAACAATATAAATTGTAGCGATAAAAGCAACATGGTTATAGTCATAAGTGGGAAGAGATAGGTACTAGGAAGGATGAAAAGAATAATAGTAATACAGTCTTAGTAAATAATTTGACCGTGTTGTGGGAATTAGTTGTTTAGCAGAGTAGTGGCATTCGGGGGGAAAACTGTCCTTGTGTCTAGTTGTTCTGGTGTGCAGTGCCCTATAGCGTCGTTTTGAGGGTAGAAGTTGAAACAATTTATGTCCAGAGTGTGAGGAGTCTGTAAATATTTTCACAGCCCTCTTTTTGACTCTTGCAGTATACAGATCCTCAATGGAAGGCAGGTTGATAGCAATTGTTTTTTCTGCAGTTCTAATTATCCTTTGAAGTCTGTGTCTCTTTTATTTGGTTGGAGAGCCATTCCAGTTATAGAGGTGCAGATGACAGACTTAATAATTCCTCTGTAGAACTGAATCAGCATCTCTATGGGCAGTTTGAGCTTACTGAGTTGGCGCAGAAAGAACAGTTTTTGTTGTGCTTTTTTGATGACGTTTTTGATGTTAGGTGTCCATGAATATTTAATGAATATTATAATGAATATTTTTGGTGAAAACTGAATTTAATTTTTTTTTATAATAAAACAAATTAAAGGCACAGAACAATAGAAAATACTATTGTTCTATGCCTTTAATTAGTTTTATTCACTACTTTTTAGTATTTTTATGTACACCATAAAGTTACTTACCTGAAAAGAGAATAGTGTGGTGGCTATGTATGTACAAAAAAGAGAGAACTATTATTAATTTGAGTCATGAAGCAGTACTAAATCTAATATCATTGGGTTGTCATTGATAATTATTTTGATATTAGTCAATCTTTGTTCCTATACTTTTTTTAAAAGCATTTTGTAAATTTCTAGATCAACCTATCAATATAATCTCTTAGTCATTTTAAATAGGAATATGAATATGATTTATTAGGACATTCTTCATAAAATTAAAGAAATAGCATAACATTACTTTATGCTCTACAAGGTGTCTTGTTTGTTTTGCTCTAGATTAAATTTGTAGATCCCAAAATGAAGAACTGTGCCACTTTAGCAGGTACAGGAGAAGCAAGCAACATAATTGGTTCCAGCATTACCACATCAACTTTTAATGAACCAGGAGGCCTATGTGTTGAAGATGGAGGACAATTCCTTTATATTGCAGATACCAACAATCATCAAATTAAAGTGATAGATTTAGAAACTCGTACTGTTTCACTGGTAAGTTACTATATAAAAAATATGGATAGAATTTTCTATTTGAAATAAATTATTAGAACTAAATTTAATTCTACTACCTGGATTGCATTATACATGCATTATTGCAGTGTTTTATAATGGCCTGGCAAACAGAATTGCTTTTGTGTTAAGGATATCCTGTTAAGCTTAAAATAAATGTTCCGTCTGTTTTAAGAGGTTAGAAAGGACACTAGTGCCATTAGAATAAGATGAAATAGAAGAACCTCAGCTTTCAGAACTTATTTTGACTTGGATATTGGGGATATGGTTTAATCTTATCTTGCTCTTTTGAGGTGCTTTAAGAACCACGTGTTCCTTCAGTCCATTTTCCCATAAACTGGAAATAAGGCCATATTATTGAATCATTTGAATACAAATGAAGCATATTTGGATTTATTAATATCAGTCTGGGGTCTACTAAATTAAGAATCTCTGCAGCAGAAACAGACCATTAGGTCTTAGGGAAAGGGTGAGAAGGGATGGGGCAGATGATGTTATCTGGTAGATACTCATTCAGGTCATATTATACCACCTCTAAGACTTGTTAGTATGATGTTCAGAAAGGATTACAGCCCTGGATATTCCCAATGTATCTCAAAGAATGTTCTATAGTGCTGCTTCTGCAGCTTTGGCCATGTCATGGAAGCCACCTTTCATGGCATTTAGAAACGAAGTACTTTATTATCATTCACAACATTATTTCCCTTTGCTGTACTCAAGCCAGACAATAAAACTGTCAATATAATAAATTCATAAACAAATAGTTATGCATTAAAGTGTCATGAAATCCCACATATAATTTCTAAAAGACTAAAAAAATCATATAAAATAGTCTTTTATTTATCATCTGAAATTAGAAGCTTCAATATCATACTCGGAGTCTGTTTTATCATAGACTCATAGTGCTGGAAAGACTCCTGGATATCTTCTAGTCCTACAATTTACCCAGGCAGGAATTCTCATACCATCTCAAACAAATGGCTATCCAATCTTTATCTGAAAACATCCAGTGATGGAACAGCCAAGCTATCCATGGTTTAAGAATTCTCACAGCAAAGAAATTCCTTCTTATTCCTTCTTATTTTGGATCTCTCTCTCATTCTTATTGTACTATTCAGTGTTTTGAAGAATAAATCCATATTGTCTTCTATGACACACCTTCAGGAATTAGAAAGACAGATATCCTATCTCCCCTTAGCTTTTTTTCAGACCAAACATTCCCAGTTTTTAAAAATAATTTAATAATTTCAGCTTAGGTGCTGCCTGATTCTAACCAGTATTTGTGAAGCACAAATGTTATGTGGGCTTATTCTTCTGCATTCTGGACTAGTTGTTCATAATATTTAGACTCTAACTCTATCATCTTCTTTTGGCTATTAGCTCACACTTTCCAATTTGTTTCTTATACTTCGGTAGCAGTGGTGGGTTTCAATTTTTTTTACTACCGGTTCTGTGAGCGTGGCTTGGTGGGCATGGCACGGCATGGCTTGGTGGACATGGCAGGGGAAGGATACTACATCCTTCTCCATTCCCACCCCACTCCAGGGGAAGGATACTACAAAATCCCCATTTCCTCCCGATCAGCTAGGACTTGGGAGGCAGAGAATAGATGGGGGCGGGGCCAGTTAGAATTTTTATTACCAGTTCTCCGAACTACTCAAAATTTCCACTACTGGTTCTCCAGAACTGGTCAGAACCTGCTGAAACCCACCTCTGTTCAGTAGCCCAAAATGGAACATAATATTCTAGTGCAGTATGATCAGTGCAGCATTGAGTGTAACAATTACTCTTGTGATCTAGCACTTATATCTCTAGAGATATAGGTCAAGATTGTACTGGCTGTTTTGGCAGATGCTTAATCTGTGGTTTACCAGGACACTCAGGTCCTTCTTATAAACATTCTCACTAACCAGGTATTGCCTATCTTGTATCTGTACTATACTGCTGCAACATCAACAATGAAAAGGTCAGATTGGGCAGATTGATGTTATATCTTGAAGAGATCAGATTTTTGTTTATGCCTTTGAAAAGTTTATATGTATACATATATTATTGAAGAAAGTGTATGTTATGTATGTATGTAAAAATAATTTTAAAGGATATTTTAAGATAGTATGAACAAACAATTTTATTCCTTTTACTTCAAAAGTAGAAGTACAATTAATCCTATACTTGTCTTCAGATCTTGGTTTTGCCTTATTAACACATATTGCACAATTATTTAAAGGAATGTATTTGTCACAGCATTAATAAAAGGATGTCTGCTGCTTTCTCAATAAACTTAAGTGATTTTTTTAAAATCAAACATTTATCTTATATTTTTACAATTCATCATATAAAACTAATTGCCAAAAAATATTCATTAGGTTATTTAAATTGGAAATTCATAGTTATCACAACTTTAGTGAAATACCATATCTTAGTGATATTGGGAGTAGTAGCAGTTGTAAAAAATTAATAACCTTATAACATTAATAACAATTTCCCTATAATAAACATCTTATTGTAAGCACTATTAATAACTGTTGGGCATGAGCATCCATAGACATCCAAATAAGTCAAAACTGCCAAGAAATGTAGCATTTATCAACTCTTTTGTTTGACTTGAAACAAAAAGACAAATGCATTGGAAAGCTATGTATAAGCTATGCCAGAGCCTAGAATGTCTCCTTAATAGTAATATACCAAACATCTTCTGTAAAACATGATCTTTGATTTCTTTTCAAAATGCAAGAAAAATGACTGATTGAATTGCTTGCTAACCATTGTTTTACTTTTATATGTTTTGATTCAGCTATTATTCAGACAATTTTGAAACTTGAACTTGCGAAAGTAGAAGGAATAATCATAGTGTTTACTAAAACAGATTAACAGCCTAATTCCAGGCATACTTCTTTTCAAAAGGGAGTTTCTTCTGCGTCCCGTGAAATATTAGGCATCCAGTTTTGAATATAATTCCACTGTGTATATAGGGGGTTTGTTCTCCTTCCCACAAAAAGGGAATGTTTATACTTGATTGAAATTTTGTTTTACAAGAACTGAACAAACTAACCCAAGTGACAAAAGGCATCAGCCCCACCTGTTCAAATGGAGTTGGATATACATTATCCAATGGTAGAAGCTTAATACATATAACATTGCAATTTCCTGTTCATGTAATCTGGAGTAAGCAGCACTCAATTTACTGAGTATTGCATTGAAATCGATTTTTAAAATGTAATTTACTTAATGTATTTGAATAGTGCTTCAAGTGCCAAAGCATCTTGAAGCAATTTACAATAAAAACATAAATGATACATAATAAAATTCTATATTACAACAACATAAACCAATGTACATACATACAATACATTTTATTCAATACAAAATATATTAATTAACAATGAGGGGAAAGGGCGGGAAAGCTTTCTTCCAACATTCATACCAAGAAGGGCCTCAGGAAGTTGAGACTTATCAACAAGGGTCTAAAATGTATCATTACAATGAACTTAGAGAACATTCCAGTTCACAGCCATCACCACTGTCCTGCATTGCCTCATAGTGAGCAGCCGTCTGGACCATATGTGGGTGATGTCCCATTCCTTTCCTTATCTGGAAAGGTTATCCAGTTTATCCTTGGTTTTTGCTGAGGTTGTCAGTAATTCAATTTGCAATACTTGCTCTGAAAATCCCACCTGAATCAGCCTGATAAAGACATTTGTTTTTTCTAACTTTAGAATATGAAATTATATTTAAAAAATTGACATGTTTTCTATTGCTTTGATAGCTTCCCCTTCTACAGGTTGACACAGTAGACACTATAACTACAGGGAGTATTAAAATGACTGATAAAGCAGAACTGCCAAGGCTCCCTAAATCAGCTCCGCATTTTCAGCTACCTTCATTGACTGTAAGTCCAGGCCAAGCACTTCAGTTCGTACTGATGCTCAACTTGCCTCCAAATACTAAACTGACTGAAGAAGCACCGAGCTCCTGGTTTTTTACTGCAGAAGGTAAAAGAGTCCATGTTCCTGTTTATAGAGGATATATGTTAAGTCTCTGTTTCTCTGTTACCCAAATACATTGACTTACATCAGGCATCCTCAAACTACAGCCCGCGGGCCGGATATGACCCGCTGACACAATGTATCCGGCCTGCGCAGTGATGGGATTCAGCCCCACCCCTTGCCCCAACCCCGCCCTGCCACTCCCACTCACTTCTTGCATGGCTGGCTTTTCCCGGCTGACAGTGACCTGAGAAAGAGCTGCCTCACCTGCTGTGGCTGCCAGAGGCGTGGGGGATGGCCAGGAACTGCAAGGTCCCTGACTGGCAGCAGGGTCTCCGCAACTGGCCCTCCAAGAAACAGGCATGTCATCGGCAGCAGGCAGAGGGGCGGGGACACGTGAGGCATGTGATGTGGATCACGCACCTGCTCTATCCCATGTGCTGTGATAAGGCATGTAGTTGCCTAACACATCCAGCCCATGGGACTGCATTCCTTTCCCCTATGCCTCTGCCTTCGGCTACTGCTTCCACTGCTGGTGAAGACAAAGTGAGTAGGGTGTGGGGGCGGCTGCTGCCTACTCCTTCCCATCTCTTTTGGCTTCCGGTTGAGATCAGATCACCGCTGGTCATCTCCTTGGCCGCCTTGCAGGTCTTGCCCTGGGCCTGTGTGTGAAGCGTGTTCCCCTCGTGCATCTGACTGCAGCGATGAGGCATAAGAGGGGCGCTTTGCTAGCAGGCCCTGCAGGAAATGAGCTTCCCTGAAGCATCGCAGGGTAGGAAGCAGCACCCATCCCAAGGCTAGAGGAAGAGGGCCTTTGAGCCACAGGCACCAGTTTTGGTAGCATCCTGCCGACTCGTCCACTTGGCGCGGAAGCCTGGCTACTCACGAGCCACTCAGGCTGCTCTTTCCCAGAATTTGGCTGCAAGCCTCCCTCTCCATTTCCAGTGGCGGAAATGGCTGTCTTCTTTCAGGAACGGGCAGCTGAGTGGGAGAAGGACAGCAGCCAAGCGGTGGAGGGGGAGAAGATGGCAGCGCCCACTCTATAGCTCACTCACGTCTCACCAGCCCATATTGCCAACAGACGCAGCTTGGAACGGAGATGAGGCAGGATGGGTGGGTTTCAAGGCAGAAGGCTGCCTTCAGTCCAGGGAAGGGATCACAGGAGGAGCTGTGTCACTTGGGCAGTGCCCTGAAAGCACTGTGGAGCTCGCATAGATCCATTAGGCCAGTGCCGTCACCAAGGCAAGCAGCCAGCTAGTAAGGCTGAGTAGAGGTGGTAAAAGCATACCCATTCCCAGCAGGCAAAAGGCGGCCACTACAAGTGGGGAAAGCTTGATCCCCATCGGTACTAAGGCTACCCAAGCCCTGTCCTGCAAGGCAGCAGTCCCACAGAGCTTTTAGGATGCTGCCCAAGTGACGCAGCTCCTTCAGACGGAGCCCTGAGGCTGCAGTCCCTTCCCTAGACTGAAGGCAGCTCTCTGTCTTGCAGCCCCCCCTCCCCTTAGTGAGAGCTAGGGAATGAGCACCGCAACAGCTGCCGCCTTCTCACCCACCACTTGGCTGCCCGTCCTTTTCCCGTTCGGCTGCCCACTTCAGAAGGAGGACAGCTGTCTCCACCACTGGAGGGGGAGGCAGGAACTGCTGGCTGGCCAGCGGATCAGCATTGCTGAGCCCCCGTCTTGGGGCTTCCTCACCACATCCACTCTAAGTGATTCCTGCCCGGTCCAATTCTTACTGCCAGAAGTGTGAAGCCCTTGCCCGAGCCTGTTGCACGCGTTCGGCACGTGCAGAGGAAGCTCTGAGCCACCCAGTAAGATTCCAAAAGCAGATTGAGACCGCCGTGATGAGAATGGAATTCAGCAAGGTTTCTCTTCCCCAACTCCATTTGCTCTTCTAGCACACTTTTCTTGAGAGAGAGAGAGAGATGTTGAGTGTAACCTTGGATCTGAGAAGAATTGCTGCAAAACTGAATTTTCTGAAGTGGACCACTAGACTCGTAAACTACTTTAAAAGTGATATAGTAAAAAGAAAAGTCAAACAAAAGCAAATAAAACACAAATAAAAATTCCCCAGGAGGAAAACAAATTAAACTTTAATTTGTGTGTATTATTTAATGGACTGCTAAATTGAAAAAATGCACTGCTAAATTGGCCATGCCCACCCAGTCACATGACCACCCAGCCACGCTCATCCAGTCACATGGCCACCCAGCCACGCCTACCTAGCCAGTCCCGCCCCCCAACAGTCTGACGGACCATGAATATTGCAGGAAAGAGGAGGGTTGGTGCTGTTCTAGGTGGCGGGCATTGCTGCTGCCCATTCGCTGCTGATTGTGGTGGGCCGCAACGGTGGCAAACAGGCTGTGGCGGCAGCAAATGGACTGCGCTGAATGGGCTACAGCGGCTAGGACACTAGACAGATGAATACTGGATGGATGCTAGGTGGCAGAGGCAGATTTTTTGCCCCTTGTTTTTCTCCTCTAAAGCTAACGTGCGTCTTATAGTCCTGAATGTCTTATAGGTTGAAAAATACGGTATATACTTCAGCTTGTTTTTGCTGTATTGTGATTTACAGTAATTCCTGTATTACTCTGATTCTGCCCTGTGAAAGTCTTTCACTAGTTCTTTTATAGTTGTTTTACTACAAACCATAATAATAATAATGTTTTATGATTAGATGAAATCATCAAATCGTAATACTCTGTGTTTTCTTTTCTAGGTAATGAATGGCTACTTTGTGATCCCTATAGATCTGGAACAATTGCAGACATATTTGAACAGCCTATAATACCATTTCAGCTACCCACTAACTGCCTGTCAGCTGAAGCTTTATTGTCAATCAATGTATGCCTCTATTACTGTAGCAAGGACAGTAATGCCTGCATGATGAAAGGAATCTCATTCAACCAGCCTTTCCATATAGCAAATGTAAACCAAAAAAGCATAGCTCCAATTGAGCTCACATATACATTTTAATTTTAAGCACAGCAAAGCAAAAAACCATTTATAGGCTTATTTACTGTAGCCTAATTTTTACCGCAAAACAAACTTAACTTTTGCAATACTATATATGTGTTATTACATGTATGAACTTAAAGCACACCTTGCAAAAATGTATGCTTGCTTAAATGGAATGTGAGAAATCATGAAACTATATCTAAATCTTAGTACCTTGTTAACTTATTATATAAGCAATAAATACTAAAGGGTTGGGGTCACTGTGAAAAAACAAATCTAAACATAGAAAAGATTGATATCTATCTTCAGAGTACAGTCTTAATGTTGGAAATTCGCATTCGTTTGATTTTTTTCCCTGTGTTATATAAACATTTGTCATCACGTGTTTTCTGGACCAGGAGGCCTTGCTCACTGTCATTCATGCCTTGACCATCTGTCTGTTGGATTACTGAAGTGAGCTCTACATGGACCTACCCTTGAAGATCACTGAGAAGTTACAACTGGTTCAGCATGCAGCAGTGTGCGCTTGAGCTTTGCTGCGCAAGCTATACTAGCTTCTAGTTGTTTTCTGGGTGCAATTCAATGTTGGTTACTACTTTCCAGCCTTAAATGGCTGTAGCGTAATGTCAAGGTTTCTGCCCAACCTACCAGATTAGATTATATGGTCGATGTAGGTCCCACTTCTTAAATGTTACCTCTGATGGGACTTTTAAGACACACTTTTTCAGTAGCTGCCTTGACCCTTGAGATTTGGAAGGCCCCCACCCTTTAACTTCTGAAGGGCTAAGGTAGGTAAAATGAGGACCCGGTTTGTGGGGGCAATAAGCTGACTTTGTATAAAAATATACAAAAGTATGAAGGCTATTGCTTAACGCACTGTAAGCCGCCCTGAGTCTCCGGAGAAGGGCGGCATATAAATCAATTTTTTTTAAAAAAAGACCTAGCTCTTTGCTCAGATTTCGGGCTAGGATAGAAGTGAGCCCAGCAAATGTAAGTTTATGACATCGCAGCAGTGTGTTGGACTATATGGTGGTGTGAGGTTTAGTTGTTTTTATTTATGTTATATTAAATATTACTGTGAGTCACCTATAGTTTTTATGTATAAGAAAGATGGCCTTATAGGTTTTATAAATAAATCATCAACCTTTTGTTTCAAATACAAGCAAAATAATAAAAAGTAAAATATGCAATGAAAAATAGTTTTTAATAAAAACTAATGTTTTTTTTTAAAAAAATAATATTTAAACAACATGTTCTACATATATTTGTTAATGACTTACATAGAGGAACTTCTATGCAAAGGCTAAGTGAATTGATATTTATAGCTAGGAATAATATTTTTAATAAAATCTGAAAAATTAAAAGGCTGAAATAATTAGTTTTTTTATTGTCTATAACCTTAAACTGCTTGTTAAAACTTGTTTTGAAAGAGAGAATAGTATGGGGGGATGTAGGGTGGTGTGTGGTGTGGTAGGGTATGGTGTATGGTATGGTATGGTACGAGTTTTAAACAATATTTACCAGTATAAAGGAAAGATACAAAACAGATCACATTCCAAAAATAATAGGATTCTTGTCAAAATTGTATAGAATTTAATACTTCACCAGAAATCCGTCCTATCATGCAAACTATTTTTAAGAACTCTTTTAAGTGCAATTGTGCATGTGATAAAGAAATAGCAGGCATCATGTTATTCTTTGTTTTGTTAAAGGTTTATTTCCCTCATAGATCTTTTATATAGTTAAAGAGAAAAAATCCAGTATAATAAGAGTTATCCAAGTAATCAATGGCACCTCTTCAAATAATGTGCTTTTACATTATTTTTAATGCCATCTTGGATAAAAACCAGAAACTCAGTCATACATTTTTAGTCACTGACTTTTTTAAAAAAAACTTATTTTGCAAAGAAGTCTCTGCTAACAGAACCACTCTTTTAGGTCAGAAAATGAATAGACTTTCTCTATTCCCACCAGGCTGAGAGTAAAGATGTTGATTTAACCTATGCTATGAATTCATTTTTAAAAGTTTCACTGGAAGTTAAGCAGAATGGAAGATACTGCATGATAACCTTTAAAAGTTAAACTTAGATTTTATATTTGATTTCATACACTATATATCTTACCGTTATAATATCTGTATTTAGACACTGACAAAGCAGCTTGGAAGCCTTCTAAATGCTTCATGATTTTATCCTGTTCACTTTATCAGGTTAATATAAGATAATAGGCTCAGGTCCAAGATAGGAAAACTTTAAACACATATTTAAAAACAAAGCTTTTTAATGAATACTATGTATATAGTGTTTCAATAGTTTCTTTCAGTGTTCTTGTTAAGTCAGAATTAGAAGTGTATAAATTGTGCATCAAAATAATGTGAAAGCAAAGGAGAAACTACAATTTGTCACTTGTTTCATCATTCTTCACTTTATAAAACTGAATAAATGCAAATATTTGGATCAGGTGTGATGCATAATTGTTTTACTTGTAAAACATAGTCTCTGTCAGTAGGTTAGTGTACTTAAACTGGATGCACATTGATTCAGTAGTTTAGTCTACTTTCTTTAGATATTTCAGATTCTCTTGTTTCTAAATTATAGGCTAATTTATAAAACTGTTAGAGGCAATTCTCATGGTTTTTTTGACTCCAGGTATGTTTCTCCCTCTCCCTCTCCCCAATATCTAGAAAAAAGAGGCTTACGTAAACCTCTGCCACCTCAAATTCTTAGTTTTTACCAAAAACTCTGTAGCTTCCCTGATCTTACAGGATAACTATTAGTGCAGAAGAAAAACATATATTGGACTCAAAATATCCATTGCCAATGAGTTCTACACTTGGCCTCAAAAAGAACTTACTGGAACTATAGCAATGGATCTTTGATAATAATCTCTAGATCAAAGTGCATGTTCTTTTTTATAAGATAATTATTCAGTGAACATTTATGTTCATAGAAAAACTTTCAGTTTTCACAGACTTAATGGTCATTCTACTGGAAATATGATTTACCCTGCAAGTGTCTATAATTTTACCCAGTGCAGATAATAGATTATTTCATACATATTCTTATTATCTCCTTTTTGTACAGTTTGTTGGGCAGCTCTGTTATTACCCCTTCTAACCACTTGCCATGATAGTTTAGAAGAACATACTCTCTTCCTTTTAAATAGCAGCTCTTTCCTAGCTTCCTGAAAGGAATCAAATTTTGCTCAGTTGCCTTTGATATCTGTTATTTCACATTTTTGGTGATATTTTATTCAAATACGTATCCTATTTTATCTAAACTTAGCTCTTCATTCTATTTTTATATGTTTCTTTAAAAATTGTTGTTTTTGTAAATTAAAATAATCATCATGCTTTCTGTGGTTTATATATATATGAGTTGTGCACCTGTGCAGAGTTCATTCTAAATTTTCTAAAGAGACCTTCCTTGTGGATCACAAAATCACTAGGCATGAATTCCTTCACACAGATCATCCATTTGTTCTTGAAGCTCTTCGGTTTCTGTGGAAGTTATCCTTTTACTTAACTTTCTTAACTTTATTCCATTTCATTTAGTACACTTTATTTTTGCTTACTACATGAGCCTTTCACTTTATCCAACACATTGAAATTCTTTAGTTCTGCATCATCATCTCACTGCATATCTGTGAGTTCTTCTCCTGAAAATCACTGCAGGAAACCTTTCCAGAAGCTTCCACAGTTCTTCCTAACTATTGACATGTCCGTGATTTTGTTTTTCTTCTTAACTATTGACATGGAATGCTCTTAGGCCTCTATACATGGTTCATATTGGAGGAATTCATAACACATTAATAGACTAGAGCAGGGCTCAGCAACCTGTGGCTCTGGAGCCGCATGTGGCTCTTTCACCCCTCTGCTGTGGCTCCCTGTCATTCAAAATATGCATCACAACCGCTAGTGTGCGACACCAGCTGGCACACTATTTATTGAGCTTTTCAACCATGGATAAATCCAAGAAAAGAAAAGAAAAGTTTCGGAAGAAAACAGAACATTTACTTCAACTACATATGCTAGTTTTGTGGCCACTCAAGAAATAGTCAGGCACGGGAAGGGTTTTGTAGCTCCTGGTGTTTTCTGTGGGAAATGGGTCCAAATGGCTGTTTGAGTGTTTAAGGTTGCAGACCCCTGGACTAGAGCTATTACTAGTTTGGGAAGCACTTTGCATCATGCAGGTCCTATTCCTATATCAAATAGTCTAGTTTGTACCAGACAATGCTACCATGGTCTGTTTTATCAACAAATGTGTGGCAATAAACCCTCTCCACTTTTAAACTTGACATTGCAAATTTGGCATCAGTGGGCAATCCAATTGATTTTTATTCTTGCACTGTTAAGCATTATTAACCAGAAATGTCTATGAAATGTAAAGGATTGTAATCTTAATTCAGTGAACATGAATAGTTTCTTCAATTTTGAAGATATGTATTTGATTTCAAGCTATAACTTGAAGCCTAAATCATAGCCTGCCCACACAGATACTGGATGGCCTTAGGAAAAAACAATTAGATTGTATAAGTATTTTGTTTTGGTGAAGACCTCTGTGGTGATATAAAATGGAATTAGAAATCTGAAGAAATATTCAAGTGTTTTATGTTTTGATACCTTCCATTTAGAATAAACTATTAATCAAGATAAATATGAAAGACAGACCTATTACAATAGATTTGAGTGAGGGACACTTTATTTAAACAACAGTGGTGTTTTTTCTAGTGTTGTCATTTGTTTAATCATTTTATCTTAATGCCCTCTTGCTGAAGGACAGTATTTCCAATGCAGAGTGGCTGCTTATGTATATCTTTGTACTGAACCTTAAAATTGTCAAGGAGAATTTCACAGGCAGAGAACTTGAGACTGCATGAAATACAGAATATTATTTATCGGTTATAATTTCTAGGACAGTAGAAAATAGAATCAATTTGCTAAATTGATGGACAGGGATATGCTGTTCTTGGAACTAGTGTTTTATGTGCCATTGCAATATAAAGATTATTCATTTCTTCCCATTATTCATTTCTACCTCACTTCACCAAACAAAAATATTTCATGGGTTTTTAATTTGCATAACTATTTTTGGCTGGTTAGTTTAAAATCTGTTCCCGTATGAAAACCAAATCATTTAAAAATGTGTAACTCATAGCCACAGCTTCCTGTAATGTTTTCTTATTTTTCCGTTAGATTTATTTATATTAAATGTAGAGCCCATCTTATATAAGCACTCAAGGTGATTCATAGCAATCCAACTAAATATAAAACAGAACAATAAAGTCAATACAATGCAAATCAAGATTAAAATAACCACCATTAAAATCAATTAAGTTAAAAGTTTGGGGAAAGAGATATTTATCATTTTCTTAATAATGGAGCCTGGGTGCCAAAAGTACCCCCTTCAAATAGCATTAGATGTCCTGATAATAAACCATAGATAGCAGCAGGGCTATTTCTATCTTCCATAGAATCTTTCTTAATGGTTCAAATACTTGTGCTTGGTTTTGTAGCAAGGGATATGGTTTTTCAGACCCTAAACTGCCAACATAAACATCTTAAATTGTATACAATAAGCTATCAGCAAGCAATGCAAATCTTTTAACATGGGTATTATACTAACTGCAATGCAGCTACTATTGATTAGCATTAGCCGCATGTTGTACAATATATAGAACAAATAGTTGTACTCAAGGCAAATTATAACCAAAGTGTAGAGAACTGTTTAAATCTGGCCAGGATTCCCTTTTGTATACCAGTATGGATGGAGGGATGGATGGGGAATTTTGGCATTTGAAGTCCAGGCGTATTAAAGTTGCCAAGCTTGAGAAACATTGCTGTAGTAGTTGACTGCAGCATTGTCCCACACCTTCCAGCTCAACATGTGATGTTGCATAAATTTAAGTAAGTAAAGCTGTGGTTTGTTTTAAGAGTGCCTGATATATCATGGCAGGGTCAGGTCATGGTGTTCAGGACCTGCCATTCAGCCACCAAGGTTCCCTTTAAGCTGGTGTTATGTTCAGCTCTTGATCCATTAATTGTTGATAAAAAATAGCACAGCTACACCTGGGAAAATCATCACAGCACTCCATTCTGTAGAAGGATTCTACATGCAGTAAACGCAGTGCATAATTTGTATTAATTATTTTAGATAAAGAATTACAGGAGAGGATTGAGTTATAGTTACTATTGCAATATGTAATAGCAGCACACCAGGTCATACCCATTTTTAAATCTATCCTCCTTGCTTCCCATTATGATATCATCACACTATTCAATAAAAGGAAGACAAAACAATTGGGATTTGGGAAAATATATTTATTTAATAGTAATTTATGCCACTCAGCCTAAAAGAGTAAGCTTTTAATATGCAATGACAATAGAAATAAAATGAATGCCAGTAATAATAGATTCATTTGTGTACAGTGAATTTCAATTTAACTTTTCAATTTAAGACTATTGATTCCGAAATAATTCATTGCAAAAGAACAAAAAATTAATTTTTTAATAGGCCTTAAATATGGCTATTAAAACAATTCTTAGCCACTTAAAGCAGGGGAAAGGAAAAAAGCATACTAAAATTTACACAAAGATACACTCCTACATTGTCTCCATCTGAATTATTTTAAGGTTCTTTATTTATTTCAGGAGGTATTATGACCTTATTTCAGGAAGTATTGATTAGGACAGCAAAAGTAATGTTTTCAACCGGATCAAGTCATTTTCTATTCCTAGCAACCACACAGATAGATTTTCTCCATTATGATCTACCCCAAGCTAGTTTTTCAGGTACTCAAATAGTGCAGTTGGCACCACTGTAACTGAATCGACCCACAGTTCTGCTGGTCATCCATTTCCTTGCTTTCCTTTAACCTTCCCAGCATTAAAACCATATCCACAAAGCTGGGTTTTCACATAATGTGTCCAAAGTAGAACAATTTGTGCCTCACGTTGATTTGTTCAATGATCCATTCGTTTGTTTTCTTGGCTGCCTATAGTATTTTCAGGAGTCTTCTCTAACACCAAAGTTAAAAAGCATCAGTATTCTTCCTAGCTTGATTTTTCAAGTCCAATGTTTGTTTCAGAGTATCAGAGATATTATCGTGGTTCTGATCTTTACAGCTATAGACACATCATGGCATTTGAATATCTTTTCCAAGGCATTCTTGCAGCAAATTTCTTGACTGCTGGTTCCCTTTACTGTCGATGGTTCATCCTAAAAGGCAGAATCACCACTTTGATATCTTCATTGCCAATTAATTAAGCAATGTATGTCACCCAAAATTAACAATGCAGTGCCCTTGTAAGTAGTTCCACTTTAATCATTCTCCAAAGGCTTTCTGGAAAAGCCAAGTTTTTACAGAACACATTGAAAATGAAAGCTACCCTTGCCTTGAGATGCAAACTATTCCAAAGAAGGGCTGCTCCCATAATGAATACCCACTTCAAGCCACT